CGTTCGCTCAAGAGCGCCGTCTGGTTTCAGAGGAGAACACCGCGCAGGCCAGCGCGTGGTGCATTCGCAGAGGATGGAAGTCGGTCTGGGCCCCTGCCGCCCCCACCCTTGCCCGGGGCTCGAGCGGGGGGGTCGCCGTCTTTATGCGCTTTTGGATGGGCTGCCTGTCCATCGACGATGCCGTCGCGACGCCTGGGCGATGCGTCGCTTGCCCGGTCGACCTTCCTGGCCCCCCCCCCATTGTGGTTGCGTCTGCCTACCTTCGCCATTCTGAAGGGCTCAGCGACGTGAATATCGGCCGGCTCGCCGAGCTAGGCGCGCAGCTGTCTGCAGTCGGCCAGCCGCGGGTGCTCGGGGCCGATTTCAAGTTCGAGCCTGCTGAGCTCGAGTCTTCTGCGATCGTCTTTGAATTGAGGGGCGGCCTCATCTCCCCCGCGGCTGCCACCCGCTGCCCCGCTGGCCCTCCCACCACCTTCGGTTAGTTTGTTTGCTCAGGCGGTCTGGCCAAGGGTCTCATGTCGATCGAGACGCAGTTGGGTGCGGAGCTCGCGCCCCATCGGCTTGCCCAGCTGATGTTCCACCCCCAGTTGGCTTTCCTTCAGGCGCTCGCCACCAGGAAGCCCCCCCCCCCCCCCACGTTACCATGCAAGCAGGTGTTCGGACCCCCCGCCCAGGAGCGCTGCCGGGGCGGAGAGATCGCCCTCGCTGCCTCGGCGGAGCAGCGCTTGAAAGAAGGGGGCCTCGATAGGGCCAAGAGATTGTTAGGGCCCCTCTATCGTCGCTGGGCTAACCGCGCCGAGCGTGACCCCATTCCCTTTGTCGGAGCCGCCCCCCCCCCCCCCCCCCCCCCCCCTGAGCTCGGAACGCGCGGCCTCGGCCCGCAGCTTGTGCGGGGGCCGACTCTGGCGAATGATGGGAAAGTGCGCTACCTGTCTGACCGTGCCATCAGATGATTAGGGCAACAGCTTCGCGCTCTCAGTCGCTCTCGCCGTGGAGGTGCGCCCGCCACCGCTGCGAGGTTGGGCTGCGTGCTGGTGGGGCCCCCGCCCAACATCTTGGTCTCGGTGGCAGACTTCGAGCCGCTCCTCAGTCGTGTGGCCCAGGAGGTCTCCGCCTTTTTAGAATCGGATGGGGGCGTCGAGTCACTCGCTGATCTGCGCGCTCAGGTGCACGAAGTTACTGCTGGCGCCAAGGTCGCTGCGCAGAGCCGCGCAGACTGGCCCGCGCGGCTGCGCGCGGGGGTGGATGAGGGAGCGAGGAGAGTTCACCAGTTCAATGAAGATCTGACGCCTTGTGTTCCTTTCTCCGTCCTTTCCGCTGCGGGGCGCGCTGTCAGTGATCCTAATTCGTTGCTCAAGGCTGAAGGCGTTTGTTTCAGCGGTATATGGGGGGGGGGGTCATGGGGCCCAGGTTGATGGGGATTTGTGCGAGCCTCTCCCCCGCTTGTCAGCCGGTGAAATCAGCGGCATTTCTAGATCGCGCCTAGAAGCTTCGGCTGCGGCTGTGGGCGGGCTTTATTGCAAGCTTTTCTCGTTGTTATCTGATGCCGCGCTCGAATGCTTGAGCGTTGTTTTCTTTGTGATGGAGTTTGTAGGTTGCCTGCCGCCGCAGATTTCGGCGTTCGCTCTGCCCCCCCCCCCCCCCGACGCCGACTGGCGGCTGTGGGCGGGGCGTTCTGCTCCTGGCCCAGGGTCTGGGGCCGCTGTCGGCGGCCTCTAGCCTTGAACTGGGGCCAGCAACACCCGGGGAGGTACTGGGCCGCTGGCCAGTTTCGCGGGGCGGCCGCCGTGGTCTGGAGACAGGCTGCCGCTGCTAAGGTTGGTTTGGCCAAAGGGGAATCCTCGTGCAGCGTGCTCTTTGGTTTCGTAAGTTCTACGAAACACCTGTCTCGAAAAACTCAAGCGTCGTTGTGAGAAACGTGGGTTCCTTCTGGCCATCGCCAGGTTGTGCGTCTTCGCTTACAGATGCGCTCGCTTCCTGTGCTTGGGGGGCTGGTTGGAAGGCCCCTTTTCATGTCTTAGACGAGTCGCTGCTGGCTGTTCGATGGCCACGACGTTCACCTGCGTCTTCTGTCAGGGCGGGTATGACTCCCTTCCTGCGCAGCCTAGCCTGGACCTTGATGTGTACATCGACGATCAGGGCCCCTCGAGCACGGGCCCCCACCGCGTCATTCTCAGGTCGGTCGTCGAAGGGGCCGAGGCGCTCCATCGGGTGGTTGGGACTTGTCTCGGTCATGCTCCTGCCCATGGCAAGACTGCAGCGGTGGCCTCCTCGAAGGCGCTGGGAGATGAGGTGTCCTTCGAGCTTTCCCACCTGGGAGGTAACTTTACTTCGAGCGCTGTCGACCTAGGCGTTGATTACACGGCTGGCCGCGGGCTCAGGGCCCAAGGCCGTTCGGTCAAGTCAAACATGCGGATGGCGAGAGGCTGTTGTGCTGCTAAGCGCCTCAAGGGGCAAGCCAAGATCCTCTCTCGGCCCCGGGTCCTCGGCGTTTTTGCGGCGGGCCCCCTGGCGGGGGCTTCGCGCGGCTCTGAAATCACGGGCGCGAGCGATCTGGAGCTGCTGCGCCTACGCAGGCAGGTTGTGTCTGTGGTCGGACCTCGCCTTCAGCATCGCTCGTTGACCACTGATGCCCTGCTCGACTTCGATCTGCGCTGGTGCACCGCCGCCGCCCCCAGTGTCAGATGGTCCACGGAGATATGGCTCAGCCAGTCTGTGGCGCATGCGTGGGGCATCTCCCTGCCTGCCTTGCGGCGTGCCTCGGGAGCTGTTTTTGTTTCGATCCTGTTTGTTCCTGGCGGTCGGTCGCGGGTCCTGCGTCCGCTCTCAGGATGTCACTGGTCCGCCTCGGCTGGTGCATGGATGACATCATGGCGGTGCGAGATGACCGCGGTGTCACAATTCCCCTCGGCATTTTCTCGCCCGCTCCGATCAAACTCCTGGTCAAAGACGGGTACTTCAGAATGTTGGAGAGGATTTCTGGTGAGAAGAGGGGCCCCCCCCTCGGCTGTGCTACGATATGCCACGCGAGGCGCTGGCCTCCAAGAAATACGCGGCCCTCCAGGAGGCCCGCGTTAGATCTTTCGCCGCGGATGTTGTTTTTAATGGAGACAGTGCCATCAGCTTAGGCTACCTGGTGGACGGCCTCTACCCCTTCTGCAGCTGCCTCGGCCTGATTTCCCACCGGCTGCTGGAATGCGTGCACGTGCCAGTCGCCGAGCTTAGATCGAGCCTAGTGGACAGTAGCGCGGTGGAAGCTGCGCTGGCCGCTCAGGACAAGGAAGAAGGAATGTTCGTCTTTATCAGGGGCTTTCCGCCACCCCGCCGACGAATACCCTAGGCCTCTCACTGAGTCGAACGATGGTCCATTTCTTGCGTGGCGCCAGGAAGATTTAGCGTCTCCCTCGGGCCTAGTGCCTGGCGCGGAGGTCTGGGCTAATGTGTTTGTCGGCGGGTCTAGCAGCAGACGCGTGATTCGCGAGCCCTCTCGCGCCGCCAGCAGCTTTGTCATTGTCGACGACCTTGGGCCCCGTATCCTCAGACGCCCGAGTCAGCCGAATTAAGCTGCTGGGCATGGGCCCACGTGCTCGCCTCTTCCGCGATTTCGGAGTTTTCTGATCGCAGTCATATTAGTACGCTGGCTTGTCGACCCAGAGGAGAGCAGCTCTCGGGAAAACGTGCCCACTTTGGAGTTCCCCTGCAACTTTGCGCCCAGGGCATTCAGCCTGCCTCTTGCACCAAGGTCGCTGCTCGCAAAGATATCGACGAGAGCGGAATCGATGCTGCCGAGCGCTGGGGGCGCCTCGGCAACCGCCGCGCGGACGCTGTTGCCAAGCACGCTGTCCGTCTGCGCCTGTCTTCCGTCTTGCCCAGACCAGCTTGATGCCGCCGACAAGCTCGTCGCACATGCGCGCCAGAAAATCTGTTTGGCCGCGCGCGTCCTACGCCGCTGGCCAGCCTTGGATCTTTCCGAGGCCGAGCGCGTGCCAGTCGTGCCCTCTGCCGCCGAGGCGCCTGCAGGGCACTTCTGGGAATTCCGGTCTGGCGTTCGGCGTTGTGCCGGTTGCCTCCGAGGGAAAAAGTCTGCGGAGAAGCCGCCGCCAGGCTCTTGCCCTCTGGGCTCGCCGCTGCGCGCGTCTCGCCAGGGCGCCTTGAGCATCGCGCGATCGCGTTCGATTGCTCTAACGGCTCTGTTTTATTTTTCTGCGCGCGTTGCAAGTCGTGCTCTGGCGGGGCGTCGGTGCGTGGACTCGGGTCCAAGTGCCGGCCTCCTCCGTCTCGTGCTGCGGGATATCGCTGGAGTAGGTTGCGCCGAGGGCGTCGCCCGCATTACAGACAGCGGTCTGCGGGCGTCACTGTGGACACTGACGATATCTTGTTGTGTTTTAACACGTATGCCTGAAGCAGTTTGCGGCCCACTGCTCTTCATCATAGCAGGTGGGCGACTGTTCCTCGCTGAGAGGACTTCGATGGGAGCGTGGAGCTCAAACAAAACAACAAATGAGTGAGGCGCTGGCTTCAGCGCTCTGCGGGTGGGGGGGGGGGGGGGCGCCAGGGTGGGGGGCACTCCAATGGTCGCGCCTAGATTGCATGGATCTATCCGGCGGTTTGGTTATCTGGGCCCCCCCAGGCTGTTTTGCGATCGGGGCAGACGGTGAGGATCTGTCGAGCGAGGCGCTGGTTTCAGCACCCCAAGTGGGGGGGGGCAGGAGGGATAACGGAGGGTTCCTTGAGGGTTGTTCATCCCATCCTCCTCCTCTTTGTGATCCTCCTCCTCTTACTCTTTTGCTTCATCACTATTCCCTTTCTTCCTCATCCTCTTTCTTATCTCTCGTCCTCCTCCTCATCATCCTCCCTCTTCGCATCTTCGCGCCCGTCGTCCTATTCGGACGCGCTCTCACGTTCAGTTGCTCACCTACTCTCAGCGACACGTGCCAGGATACTGAGATTCACTTCTCGGTGTTCCCCTGCCGAGTATAGTTTGGTTCTTCCTCCTGGAGGCGCGACGAGGAGTTCTTCTGGGAGGGCGCGGGCCTGTCGTCCCTCCTCGACAGCGGCTGCCAGGGGCAGGGGTCGGCCGGGTGCGCGGCCAGCGGCCCCGCTCTGCGCGACCGCGTCGCCTGCCTCGCCGACCGCGCGGCGCTGCCGGACGCCGACGTCGGCCCCGCGTGCGCCGAGGCGCTGGCGCTGGCGTCGGCGGGCCCGTTCGACGTGCTGATTCCGAGCAGCGAAGACTCGAAGGGCGATTCGCATAAGCTGGAACAGATACGTTACCAGTGGTGGGCTGTTTTTCAATCCCGGGATTCCTTCAGGGTCGAGGACGACGCTGGGGTGGTGTGGTGTATACTTTTTTCCCCGATGCCCCGGGGAGACAACGAAAAATGTATGCGCCAGGGTCCCGTATACACCAGGATCCGCTCTCCAGTGCAGATTCTAATGCAGGGCCGGAAGAAGCGTAGGGCGTATCGTATAGAGTTCGACCCCCCCCAGAGTAGCATGCAGAGTGAACTTTCCGCCGTCGGGGACGCCTGCCCCAGGGGCGGCTGGGAAGTCTGCGCCTCCACCTGCCGCCGCGGAGGCACGAGCTTTCCGGGCGCCGCAGGACAGGCGCCCCCGACGGCGGAGACGCTCATCGCATACCGCTTCGCCCCCACTCAGCTTGAAGGACATGCTCGGCATCCTGAGCGCGAGGAGGGAGGCGCTCTTCCCGGCCCACATCTGGAACGCGAGCTCCCCGAACGGCGGCCAGGGCGGCCGGGAGGAGACTGGCCGCGGCGGCGGGGCGAGCGTCCTGTTGGAGCTGCAGAGGCTTGACCTGCCTGGAACCTATCCCTATCCCTATGCTGGGCATCGCCTCATCACGATGGCGATCTTAGGGATTCCCTCAGTTTCTGAGGTTGCATCCCCAAGATTGTCATCGCCGTTGGGCGTGGCAATCTTAGGGATAGGGACAAAAGTTCGAGGCTGGTTCGAGGCTGGCCTCCTTTGGCGGACCCCTGGACCTGGACTGCCTGACGTCGTGGCCCCCGTGCGGGGACCTGGCCGCCCCGGCCTCCCTCGACGCCAGGCTCGGCGGCTCGTACGACCTGGGCCCAGGCTTCTGTCGGGCGTGTCCCCCTACAGGGGTATTTTCAACGAAAAATGAGAACTACCCCAAAAATATTCCAAAAAGGTAAAAAAATAGTCCCCAAATAGTCCCCAGACTATTTTTGGACTATTTTTGATTATTTGGTGGGTATTTTTCATTTTTCGTCGAAAATCCCCCTGTAGGGGGACAGGCCCGACTTAAGCCCAGGCGCGGCAAGCGTGCGTCTCGCGCTGAGCGTCCCCGGAGGGCTGCCCGTCGCCGTGGGCTCCGGGTGCTCCGCCGACGCCGTCGGTGCCGTTGCCACCCTGGAGCGCCTGCAGCTCGCGAGCGGGCGGCTGAGCTTTGCCGCCCTGAACATCACGGTGCCCGACGTGGCCAGAGGTCTCCGAGCACAGGGCACAACTAAGAACCACAACCAGAGCACATCGGATTTTTCGGCGTGGACCATTTGGTTGTGGTCGTTGTCGATTTGGCCGCCAGGGGACGCCACATCGAACACAACCAGCACTAAACTGGCGTTGGTGTTCCGACGTCTGTTGGCGTGCGCAGGACATCCTCCAGGGTGTGTCCTCGGTGCGGTTGTGGTCGCTTGCGGTCCCCGCAGAGGTCCAGGGCTCGTTTCGATTCCTCCGATTCGATTCGATTTCGTTGGCCTCCGATTCCGATTCGATTCGACGTGGGATTCCGATTTGGATTCCGATGTCTCACTGAAGGCATACTAGCCTGCCGATGTCCGCTGATTCGACTTCTCCCGACTCGGCTGCCGATTTCCGCCGATCCGATCCATTTCGATCGCCGAATCGACTTATCGATTCGATTTCGGACTCTCCTGCCCCTGGCATCCCCACCCGTTCCATGACGACCCCCTCGCACGACTCCAAGGCGTGGGCGGGCGACCCGGCGAGGGCGAGTGGCGTCCGCAAGAGCTTCCACCCTCCGTCCTCAAGGGTCGAGAGCAAACACCTGGACCTGGCAGGAGGAGGAGGAGGAGGAGGAGGAGGAGGAGGAGGAGAAGGAAAGGGAGGAGAAGGAGGAGAAGGAGGAGGAGGGAGGGAGGAGGAGGAGGGCAGGAGGGAGGAGGAGGAGAGGAGGAGGAGGAGGGGAGGAGAGGAGGGAGGAGGAGGAGGAGGAGGAGGGGGCGGAGGAGGAGGAGGAGGGAGGAGAGAGGAGGAGGAGGAGGAGGAGAGCCTCGAGGGTGAGGGGCTCGTCACAGAGGGGTCTCGGGTCTCGTCATGGAAGGGGTGGGTCAGCTAGCGCCCACAGAGGCCTCTGGGTGGCGTACAATTTCAGCAGCAGCCCTGCGGCGGAGCAGTCGCTGTGCATCCACACCCCTGAGGGCGGAGGTGGTCTTCTGAGTTTCATCACGGCTGGCGTTCCAGTCGTGTGGAGCGCGGAGCCTTCCTCGTCCATTCGGGTGGGCGAGGCCGCGGGTGCCAGGCGGCGCGCACTGCGGCAAGAAGACGCTGCACTAGGCAGTGTTGGCAGCACCAGGGCCGACATTGTGGTGCATTCTGGGGACGAGTCCATCGACATGGCGGTGGTAATCAGTCACACGAGCATTGGGCTTGTGAATTTCAGCATGAGCCCAGTGGTCCTCAGTGTCGGCCCATTCCAGTTGAGTGAAGAACCAGATCCTACGGAGCATCACGGTCACAACGCGCTGCTGGATTGTTACCGTGGGAGGCGCACCTGCGAAGTAATGAAGCTGTGGACGTCGGATGTGCTCGCGACGGCCAGTTCAGGTCATGGTTCGGACAGCCTGGAGAGCAGCTTAGGTCTGAGCATTGTGGCGCCTGACGGAGGGGACTTGATTGCCCACCTCTTCTGGGACTGGTCAAGAGACAAGCAGCATGCGTACCGCGTGCAAGGCGCCATCTCTGGACAAGGACTCGTGGACGTGAGTTTCCTGTGGCCCCGCTTCTTGCTGCCGTCTTCGCTGCTCGGTGCCAGTCCTGGCAGGCGCCTCGTCAGCGAGGAGACGGTTGGCCTGGAACTCGCCTTCAACCTCACCGATCCATGGGACGGCAGCGAGGTGCTGCATGGATCCACCACCGGTGGCCTGCTGAGCAGCGTGTACTTCACCGGCGTCGACGCCTTCGTGGACCCAACGGGCGAGCGCCCGACGCGGGTTGCCGCGAATTTGAGCACCGACTGGGCGGTTGATATGGGTGGGGATATAGACATCCGGCTGACCATCCCTGCTATCAATTTCGTCTTCAGTTCGGGTGTTGCGAGAGGTGGCCTTGGCCCAGGGTGGCCCCAGACGTTTCAGAAGGCCTAGATGGCTTCCAGGGCACCCCTCACGAGGACCAGAGGGCCCCACCGGCTTCTGCATCACGCGAAAAGCCGCGGGGCATGTTGGGGCTAGGACCACCCGTGGCAACGCCCGATCAGCGGCTCGTACGACAACCGTAGTTCCTCCCAGATGGGGCACATGCTCCTGGAGGGGTTCGAGTTCCACTCCTTGCAGAAAGAGTTTGCTCTGTTCCACACCGTCGGTGTTCGGGGGGCCGAAGACCAAACAGACATTCAGATCTGACGTCCGTGGACTCATTGGATCCGTGGACGCAAATATGGATCAAGGGGGCGTGGATTAGCGACGGGTCCCGCTTCCACGGGAAATCGCGGATTCCCGCCGCCGAGCGAGGCGGCACCGGCCGCATTTTGAGGAGGGCACCTCCCCCGATCCATGTTTGTGCGCCCCCGGATGAGGTATCCCACCATCGTCAGAACCATCCCAACTCCTGCGTGCCGTGGCACTTCGTCGGAGGGGGGGCCCGACGTTGCCCCATCAGCCAGACTACTGCTGCTGCACCGCGCCTTGCCTGAACAAGAACATACTCTTGCGTTCCGTGGCCAGGGCCATGGCAGCGACCCCGGTTCCTGCTCCCCTCTCTTTCTCTTTCGGTGCTCTGGCCTCCACTCGTCCGCGCACGTGCCTCGGGCCGCGAGGCGCGAGCTTGTGAAGCCCCTTCTGTCTGTCTCCCCGACAGGCTACAGTTAAGTCGGGCCTGGCCCTCTACGGGAGGAATATTCAAACATTGTCAACAATTGTTAGGCGGATTTGTTTGACTCTTTTTGATTATGTTTGAATCTTTTTGGACTGTTTTTCAAGTTTCGCCCCGAATCCGCCTGTAGGAGGACACGCCCGACCTAAGACTACAGGTCAAACATGACCATAAGGATGAGAAGCGTTCCATGGGTCTCATTCATCCGTGCCTCTTCGGCGCAGCCTTAGCCATTGTCGCTGGCCACGTTTGCTAAAAGGGGTGCAGCTTTGGCGTCTAAGGCCCTTGCCTCCTTATCGCGCATCCCCATGCACCCGTCATGCTGTAACATTTGGCCAGCGTCGAATTCCCTAGATGCCGGGCGCCAGCGGAAACCTGCCGCCTGCGGATTTTTCGCTTGATGTTGAAAAAAGAGGCGGGCTTAGACATTGCCCATGCTGATTGGTTTGATGCAGTGCCGATTCTGATCGGCCCGATCTCATCCGATTCCGATATTCTGAGGATTTCATGCGGCCCGATGCTTGCATGGCGCTGTTGTGCACCCTGGCGCAGCCGATGCCATTCGATCTCGACTCCGTGCCGATGCGGCCCGATCCGACGTGAATTCGGACTATTTCCTGCTCCGATGCTGACTGAACCTTAGGTGTGGAGGACCTCGGGTTCGCCATAGGCTTCGCCTCGGCAGTCGAGTCGGGCACGCCTGCGGAGCTGATTAGCTGAAGGGCTCCAGCCACTGCCGCCGACACCCCTGCTCTTGGCGTCGAGGGCTGTCTCGTCGTCGTCAAGATTTTTTCGCTCCTCCTCCTTCTCCTGCTCCTTCTTGCTTACGATCGCCAAGTGGCGTTCCCGGCCTGTAGGGGCCAGCGGGGTGACTTACAGAGGGGGATGGTACAACTGCGTTCGTTCTCTTACAGCATACATCACCACAACGTCTAAACGGGCGCAACGTGGCGGCCTACAGCCGGCGGATACGCTGCTCTCAGCCCGGGAACGTCTCGTCCCTCCTGGACACGCTGCTGGGCAGGCTAGAAGTGGCGATTTCCATGCAGATGCTGATGCCGGCTGCCCGCAGGGCCCAAGGTTCCCCAGAGAGTGCGACCGGGACACAGCGCCGACTGACGAGCCCAGATGATGCTCCTTCCGTGCGGATCCGATTGCAGAGCTCTGCAGAGGAGGTGCGGGTGCTGGGCGCCATGCAGGTGCCCGCAAGCCTCCACGCCTTCGACTTCCGAATCGGGTTCGGGGAAGTGAGGCTCGACGTGTCGGCGCTCGAGGGCGGCACAATCTGCTCCCTCTTCGTGCCCGAGACGGACCTGAGGCCCGGGTTCGGCGGCAACATCGAACTGGACCTCAGGATTGGACGACGGGAAGCGTGTGCCAGACCAGCCCAATGCTCGCACCCCCGCGTGCCAGCGCGCACACGGAGGCGTGCGCATCGATCTTGTCTGGTACACGCGCGGGGCCGCCCATGAAGGATGGTGCCCTCGGAGGTGCAGGTGCTCAGGATCGTTTAACCTGTCCCCACTCCCATCGGGCCATGGTATCGCAGCGCCACCACCCCACCCCCCCAGTCGGGAATATGCCCTTCGAAACCCGAGGGGGAACAGCCCATCACCCCCATCTGGGGGGGCAAATCGGCCAGTGGGGCCCAGGCCACGCCAGTGTTAAGTCGGGCCTGTCCCCCTACAGGGGGATTTACGATAAAAAATAACAAATACCCCAAACATACCCCCAAATGGTCAAAACATATTTAAGAAATAGTCCCCGGACTATTTTTTTTTTTTAGGGGGGGGTATTTTTCATTTTTCGTCGAAAATCCCCTTGTTGGGGGACAGGCCCGACTTGACGCCAGTGGGGGGTGGGGATCGGTTTCGACGATGCCCAGGTGCTCCGGCAACAGCTGCTCGACCTGCTCCTCGGCGCTGCGCTCAACGGCACCCTGCGTGCGGAGGGCCGCGTGAGCGGCCCCCGCTCGGAGGGCCGCGCCCGCTTCGAGGTGCCGATGCTCCTCGCCCTGGCCGGCCTCCCGGGCTCGGTGCGCCTCGGGGACGGCGGCGGCCGGGGGCCCCCCCAACGGTGTGGAGCGTTCCAGGAAGGGCTCCGCCTTCGAGGGCCGAAGGAGTTGGCACCGCTTCCTCGGCGGAAGGCCGCGGAGGGGCGGCGGAAGCCCGCGACATCAGAATGAGGCCACCCGCCAGCGGAAGCCGGCGGAAGGCTGCCGGAGGGCGGCGGAAGCAAAAGGTGCGCTCCAAAGAGATGCCAGACAACATTCTTCTCCAAACAGTGCTTGCACTTGAGGGTTCTCACTTCTGCCCGAAGGAATTAGGCTGGTGTGCCGCAGAGGCGGCTACATTGCTGTCATCGTCGCCGCTTCGTCGCCGCCCGCTGTCTGGGCCGGTGTGCCGCCGTGGCGGCTATGTTGCCGCCGCCGTCGCCCCGCCGCCGCCTCGTCGCCGCCCGTCGTATGGGTCAGAGTGCCGCAGAGGCGGCTATGTTGCCGCCGTCACAGCCCCGTCGCCGCCTCGTCGCCGCCTCGTCCGCTCTGGTGTCTATGTTGCTGCCGTCGGCACCCTGTCGCCGCCTCGTCGCCGCCCACATAGATTGCTCGACATATCTATTCTCTTTTCTAGAAGGGAATTCGGATCTCCGCCCCCTGGAGTGCGCGGTACCTGGGATAGTGCAATGTACGTATGATTATGTCTCATCGTTTATCTAATACCATCTCAACAAAAGCGGTATCTCCCCCTTAATCCCTAATTTGTGCTATGCCCGCGCAGTCGTTGATCAAACATCATCATTTTTCAAGAGCTCCTTGCAAAACAACACCGAAACAAAGTTCACACGTGCGCGCGTCGTCGCGCACGCATGCCGAAATGTATCAAACACCCAGGGTTTGTGGGGGTTCAAGATCGAGTTTCCCGAAATTGGAAACAGTGGTTTTGCACTACATCGTCTGCGCGTGTTCTGTTGCTAAGTCTCATGAAAAATCACTGGTTTGCAACATGTTGGTTGACTGCAACCAAGCGGGCCTCTCGCGCGCGCATGTCGGAACCATTCGAACGCCTTTGTGCGCTTGCTGGGGGGGGGCACGATCCCTGTCAGAGGATACCGTGCGGGCCACTCGCGTCCGTCTGCCGCGCGCGCATGCTGAATTCTTTTCTACAAAAATCATCACTGACGCGTGGACACCTTCATCGTCATCGGCGTGACCAGCATCGGCACCGTCATTGGCCTTGCCGTCGTCATCGTCCTCGTCGTCACCAGCATCGGTACTATCATCATCGCGCCTGCCGTTGCCGACGTTGGTGTGATACCGCCCCCGCCCGAGTCACCGAGTCGCACGGGTGTGCCCGAGCGTCAGCGCGGCCTGCGAGACGCGCTAGGAAGTTCCCAGCGGTCAGCGCCACCTGTGCCCTGTCAGTCGCGCCAGACAGGCTGGCCGCTTTGCGCGCGAGCGTGTGCGCGCGAGCATGTACGCGCTGGTCGGCCGCAGCGATGCGCCAGCCAGCGCCAAGAAACCATCGCAATCGCCACCGGAGGCGTTTTTCAAACAAAGTTGTGGGTGGGTGGGTGGATTGGATGATTGCGCCGGTAGTGGAGCTGACAGCTTCAAGTTCGGCAGTGTGAATTCTCTTTTTTAAAAACAGAATGCACTCTCCCCCCCCCGGCGTTCGCCGCCCCCCTTTCGGGTATGTAAATCATATATGATTCTGACCACATGTCCATCCTAAAAATGAGTTTACAATGTCAAAATGGAACCGGTATCGGTCCCCCTGAGGTTCCCTTGTAAAAAATGATGCGCGGGGACATTTTTTGTTCTAACATAGAGTATTTTTTCGCGAATCCCTTGCAGAAAATGGGACGACGTGCGCACGCGCGCGTCGTCGCGCGCATGCCGAAATTCTTCAAAATCCATCGCTTTCGGAAGGATTTCGCAAACTAGTTTCCAACAAACATACAAAAAACACAGGGTTTCGCAACACTGATTTGCTAAAAAAGCTTACGCGCGAGTTCCTGCGAAATCTTAAGAAAACCATGGGTTTTTCAAGATTTTCGCAAAATGCTACGAAACGAGCTTCGCGCGCGCGAATGTCGAAATCTGTCGAACGCCCTTGCGCGTGTGCCGTCGCGAGAATCATTTGCAAAACATGGGACGAAGTGCAGACGCGCGCGTCGTCGCGCGCGTATGCCGAAATCCTTCCAAACGGAAGGATTTCAAAATCGCGTGTCCAAAAAACCTACAAAAGCACAAGGTTTCGCAACAAGGATTTTCAACAAGAGCGTGCGCGCGCCCTCTTGCGTCGTCGTCGTCGTCGTCGTGGCCGTCCTCCCTCCTCCCGCGTCGTCGTCGTCGTCGCTTACGTCGTCCTCTGTCTTTCCTCGTGTTCGTCGTCGTCGTCCTCTTTGGCGTCGTGGTCGTTTCCGTCGTCGTTGTCGCTGTGGTCGTCCTTCCTCCTCCTCCCTCGTCGTCGTCGTCGTCGTCGTCCGTCGTCGGCGTCTCGTCGTCGTCCCTCCTATTTCGTCGCCGTCGTCGTCGTCGTCGTCGTCGTCGTCGTCGTCGTCTTCCCCCCCCCCTCGTCGTTGTCGTCGTCGGCGTCGCCGTCCTTCCTCCTTCTTCGTCGTTCGCGTCGTCGCCGTCCTCCCTGCTCCCTCGTCGTTGTCGTCGTTGTCGCCGTCATCGTCCTCCCTCTTCCCTTCTCGTCGTCGTCTTTGTTGGCGACGTCGTCGTCGGCGTCAGCGTCGGCGTCGTCGTCGTCTTCGTCGTCGTCGACGTCGGCGTCGTCGTCGCCGCCGCCGTCGTCGTCGTCGTCGTCGACGTCGTCGTCGTCGGCGTCGTCGTTGTCGTCGTCGGCGTCGTCATCGTCGTCGTCGTCGGCGTCGGCGTCGTCGTCGTCGTCGGTGTCGTTGCTGTCGTCGTCGTCGTCGTCGTCGTTGTCGTCGTCGCCGAAGTCGTCGGAGACGTCGTCGGTGTCGTCGTAGTCGTTGTCGTCGGTGTCGTCGCAGTCGGTTTTAAGGGGTTTTGCAGAACAAGTTGCCGGTGGGTGGGTGGGATTTTTGCAAGAGCATGGGATGTGTCAGATCATGGGTAAAAATCAATTGCACCACGCAGATTGCACCACGCAAATGGACCACATATATTGCACTGCGTAGGGCCCCCTTTCTGACAAAGAATTTGGATCTACCACCGCCCCCCTTGGTTAACGGGTTACCTTTCCGTACTCTTGTCCCAGCTGATGTTGCGCATTCAGGCAGTCCGCTATTCGACCCCCGTTCCTCCCTGTCGTATTCTACGAAGCTCGCACTCGTTTAATCAAACGTCGTCAGTTCTGAAAAATCCCTTGCACAAGACGGGACGAAGTGCGCACGCGCGCGTCGTCGCGCGCGCAGGCCAGAATCTTTCAACAAGCCAGGTTTTCGTAGGGATCTCAAAACCGAATGTCCCGTAAACGTGTAATCACATATGATTTTGCAGCATGATTTTTTCCCAACAAGGTATGCGCGCTTTCGAATTCTTATGAAAGCCAACGGTTTTTTCAGCAATCTCATCATATTCGACCAAGCGGGCCTCTCGCGTGCGCATGTCGAAATCATTCGATCGCCCTTGCGCTTGTAGGGGGGGCACGCTTCTTGCCTAATCATACTATGCGGGCCACTCGCGGGCGTCGGCCGTGCGCGCATGCCGAAATCCTTCCAAAATCTTCACCACCGAAGTGAGGACACCATCGTTGTCATCGGCGTTACCAGAATCGGCACCGTCTTTGCCCTTGCCGTCGTCATTGTCATCATCGCCGCCACCACTGCTACTATCAGCATCGCGCCTGCCGTTGTCGACGCCGCCATGATATCGCGCCCGCCCGAGTCACCGACTCGCATTGCTGCGCCCACGGCACATCGCGGCCTGCGAGAAGTGCTAGGGATTCCCCAGCGGTCAGTGCCACCGCGGCCGCGTCCGTCGCGCCAGACTAGCTGGCCGCTTGGAGCACAAGCGTGCGCGCACCGGCGCGGCCGCAGCGATGCGTCAGCCAGCTCTAAGCAGTCATTGCACCCCCCCCGCATGAGTTTTGCAAGCCAAGTTGCGGGTGAGTGGGTGGGGTGGATACGCGAGCAGTGGGATCGACATTTGGTTGCGAACAACAGCAGTTCACATTACCACATACATTGCACCACACGCATTGCGCACCATATATTGCACAACATAATTTGCACAACGTAGATTCAATAACATCTATTTCACCATGGAGATTGCGCCACGACCATAGCGCCACATACGTTCTGCTTTTCTACACGACTGTTCGGATATATTTCCGCCCTTCCCCCCTCTGACTTATCGCATCAATTCTTCGTATCGCAATTTGCAGATGTTTCAGCCCCATCGTCCATCCTAAAATATCATGTTTTACACTGCCAGGCGAATCCTGACTACCCCCATCATCATACGTAATACATACAATGCGCGCGCATTCGTTTGTCAAACATCATCCGCTTCCAAGAGGCATTTGCAACAAATTGGGGCGAAGTGCGCACGCGCTCGTCGTCGCGCGCGCATGCCGCAATCTCTCAAAAACAGAAGGTTTCTTAGGGGTTTCAAAATCGAATGTCCCGAAAGCGTAAATATCATACCGGTGAAGTCGCAACAACAGTTTTCAACTTACAAAAACAAATAACAACTTGTGCCCGAGATTTTGCGACTTCTTGAGATAACCATCGCTGTTCAACGTGCTCATCAAATTTGGCCGAAAGGGCTTTTCGCGCGCGCGTGTCGAATCGTTCGGACGCCCTTACGCAAGTGTTGTCGCAAGAACCCTTGCAAGAAGTGGGACGGAGTTTACACGCGCGTGTCGTCGCGCGCGCATGCCTAAATTTTGTATATACATATATATATATATGTACATATATATATATATATATATACACACATATGTGTATATATATATATATGCATATATATATATGCATATATATACATATATATATATGTATATCTGTATATGTATGGTTTCATTTCCATATATATATACACATAATGTATATATATATGCTTCTTAAAAATCCGGATTTCATTATCGACTTTCCCGACGGTGCACAAACACATATGGTTTCCAACGAAGTTTTTGAAACAAGCATGCGTGGGCATTCTTGTGAATCGAAGAAAACCAATTCGGTTTTCCACCCTTTTTATCAAATTCGACCAAATGGGCCGTTCGCGCTGCATGTCGAAATCGTTCGAACGCCCTTGCGCGCGCGCCGGGTGGTGGGTGCACAATCTTTGACTGATAATATATCATGCGGGCTACGCGCGCGCGTCGTCCGCGCGCGCATGCCGAAAGCGTTCCCGATTTTTCATCACCGTCACGATGACGCCAACATCGTCGTCGGTGTGGCCAGCATCGGCGCCGTCATTTGCCTTGCCATCGTCTTTGTCATCATCGCTACCAACACCGCTACTATCATCATCGCGTCTACCGTTGTCGACGTTGTCATGATACCATGCCCGCCCGGGTCACCGATTCGCACTGAAATGCCCGCTGAGAAGTGCTCAGCGGTCAGCGCCAACGCGGCCACGTCGGTCGCGTCAAGTTAGCTGGCCGCTGCGCGCGCGAGCATGTGCGCGCTGGCGCGGCCGCGCACATGCACCAGCCAACACGAAACACTCATCGCAATCGACGCCGCATGGCTTTTGCAAACCAAGTTGCGGGTGGGTGGGTGGGATGATTGCGCGAGCAGTTTGTTTGACAACCCATCGCGAACAACATTCATTGCACCACATAGATTGCACAACCGAGATTACACAACCTATAATGCACAATGTAGGTTGCACACCACTTACTGCGCCGCACAGATAGCACCACGTATATTGCGCCACACAAAGTGCACCACGTAATTAACACCATAAAACATGCTAGAAACGCCGTGTTTGTAGTCCACGCTGGCAAATTCTGGGTTCGGGGCGTCCGAAACCAAGCGGGATGGCCACACCGTGTGGTGAGTCGTTGGGGGTCCAGGGTCGCCGCATGGTTTCGGAACGTTTTCGGGACCTTTCGTTGGTTTTCGAGCGTAGTCGTTGCTTCTTGGGGTTTTTCCCGCCGCGGGGTACGTTCCAGTAGCTGCGCCTCGCCGAGAACGTTCCGGGGGTGTTCAAATCGTCCCGAACGGCCGCCGGAGAGCCGAGCTATGGCCCGAAAGCCAGAGGGGGCCCTCAAACGGTGTGGTGACCACGCCGCGTGGTGAGTCAGTAGGTATATTCGGGGTCACCGCGCGGTTTTGGGATTTGGGCCATTCCGGGGATGCCTCGAGAGACTGGAGCCTCCGAGGTCCCAAGACCGTGCGGTGACGGCCCGCGCCGTGAGGTCGTTGGGGGTTCCAAGGTCACCACGCGGTCCGTGACCACACCGCTCTTTCGGAG